ACACGAGGCTAGCACCTCTTAAGCACATTGCTGGCTAGGTGTACCATGGGGCCCTAAGGGCTAACAGAACTATCATTAGCATCTATCATTCTAAACTCAGTCCCATTAATTAAAATCAAGCATTCATGGAGTTGGAAAAAAAACAATATGAAAATGTTCCCATTTAAAATATACGATTCAGTGGTCATATTTCATTCCCATACTCATTTCCATTTCCTCCATGCACGAGTTGCTGTATTAAAAAAATTTTAGACCATATGATGAGGCGGAGCCCCATTTGGAAGAGTCAGCTACATTTGTAATTCCCGACCATATGGTGAGGCGAAGCCCCATATATAAGAGTCAGAGGGTTGAAAGTGAAACAAGTCTAGTTGTGTGTGTGTGTAAATATGTGTTATATGTGTATTGCTCATATAAGTCCATAATTGTATAATATAGCATTAAGAGGCCAAAATGGGCAATTGATGTGATATATGTGGTATGAGATGTCAATCAGGTATATGTGGTTCTTTTAGACATGGTTCAAGGCCCGAAGTAGCTTAACGGCACATCGTGCTCCGCAGCACATGACAAAGTCAAAAATAGAGCATGTCTCTTTGTACCACTTGCTGCAGCACATATGGTACATGTCATGGCACATTGCCCATTTTTAGAGTAGAATATTGTGCCTTATTAGGTCTTGTGAATGTGTTTATTCTTCCACTAGCTCTCTTATTTGAATATATATTTTAAGAAGTTGATATCTCACAATTTGAAAGCAAATAAGGGGCTATTACTTTGATATTATTATGTTGTTACTTGTTGATTATGTGATCAGGAATGGTAAAGCCTAGTTTGAGCTAGGACATTACAACAAAGTTGTATGATAGACAAGAATTGCTAAATACTCAACAAAGAGCTATCATGGATCACTTTAAGATCCCAAAGTCAAGTGTGACCAACACTGTACCCCTTGACCTAGAAGGCTCCCTCACCTCTTATAATTGAGAATGTGAGTTTTTATTCCTCCTCTAATCATCACTCCTCACCAAGCCAAAGCCATAAGTCACCTAGCTAAAGTCAAAAAAACACTCCCTCCCTCTTAGCAAAATTCACCCAATCCATATGATGACCATTCCTCTTCTAATTCTACATTCTCCACCAAAATCCTTTCAATCATATAAAGGTACTAAGGACTTAGAGAAAGATCTCTTTGATATTATTAAGTCCATAACCAAGAATCTTCTTCCCTCTTCATCCAAAGAGTACAAAACTCCACCACTATCTCCTTATCAACCCATTATTGAATCAAAGTCATAACAATCTATCACTAAGACCAAGAATTCCCATAAGCTTACTATTCTTATTACTCTAACTAATGACTTCACACCCTTACTGACTCAAGAGGAAAATCAGAAACAAAAAGTTCTAAGGTTTAAGGTTGAGATTATATTAAAGAAGAAGTTGAGGATACAAAGGCTTACAAGAATATTGAGTAAAGTAGAGAATACATATTTGGTCTTGAGGAAATTAGAGATAAGAAGACAAAAATTAAAGATCTATTTAAGCTAATTTAATTTACTGAAACTTTTAAAGTTAGGGCATCTTGTATGAATACTAATAAGGGGGAAGAAAGAGAAGAATAGAAAGTTCCTAAGGTTATCTATTTGGATGCTCAAGAGGATTCTCTTGACCAATCACCCACCATGAACCCTTGTAACCCTTCCTCTTGGATTATGGTAGTTTATCATCCTCCTCAAATCCCTCCTATCCTTGAGATTCTTGTAGTGGTCCCTGATAAGTAGATATTTTACATAGATTTATGTATTATTTTATTGACTAACTAATGCATGAAAAATGAGACAAAATAGCATGAAAAATGACTTAAAATGTGAAGGCTATAGTCAAAACCAAGTACCAACTCTTGAAAGAAGTGTCTGCTTGTGGACACAATCATCACAGAATAGGACGTAATCACAATGGTCCCAACATGTCTTGAACTTGACCAACCATAGAGGTGTAAATTTTCTATAGCTTCAACATTTGACCACACGTGAAGGAACACGCAAATAGTGTCCTTCATCAATGGACCGTGCGTGGACATAAATGAACTTGCCTTGACTGCACGTGAACATAGAAGCCAAAAATAGAAATTAAAATTTGATTATATTTTAAATTAGATATCAGCTTATCAGATAAGACATGATTTGGATAGATTTTAAGCCCAAGGGGGACAAATTAATTATAAATAAACCCCCCAAAAGCCTCTCAAAGGATCTAATCTCATATCCAAAAGCTAGGAGGCATATTAAGGACTTCGGAGCATTTTTTTTCAAAACTCGAAGATTTTTCTCTTTTCTTCTTCTTTATAATCTTTTTATGTCTTTTATTTGGGATTGTAGTTTTAACTCTATGAGTTCTTACTAAACTCTGAGTTAAGGTAGGGAGTAGCTTGGCTAGAATGAATTTTTTTGTTATTGCTTTTGTTTATTTTCCCATTGAACATAAATTTTCGTCTATGAGAATTTTTGTTTTATTTATATTTATCTCTCTCATTTTCATTATTGATTATTTATGTGGCCAGTATATAATGTGTTTATGGGCTATTCAAAGAACTGAGAGGTGAATAGTTAGCCTATAAACCTAGAGAGATAGACACAAATAATTGAGTTTGACATAATCTAAGAATATGTGGTATCTTATATTGTAGCTTACTTGTTTATTTAAGGTCTCAATAGAATTAGTGAGAGTTAATTCAACCTTATATAGATACTCCCTAATATATTGAGAGATAATTAGGATACATTAGAAATGATTGTCACAAAAAATAAAGGGAAGAAAATTAACTAAATTATAGTTTTCCATCTTAGTAGGTGAATCTTGATCCTGGCGCTTTTCTAATTGGTTGGTTTATCGCTTTTATCATTTTTCTAATTTATTTGCATTATTTAATTAGTTATTAAATCCTTTTGAAAACCGTTATTTGTTTTCTTTCAATAACAAAGATCACAATCTCCATCTGGGTTCAACTCGAAATACTCTAGATTTATTAGTAAATCGATCCCATGCACTTGTGAGAGCGATCAATCCCCTCCACCAACCTTCCTCTTATTTATGATTATGAGCTCAAAGGAAGATTGAGAGCCATCTAACAGGAAGTTGGAAAAATCCCCTCTTTTTGATGATGCTGAAGTGGGAAAAATGGGAGAAGTAAAGGGATAGAGCAAAAGAGTTATTGCCTAATTGTTTTCAAAATTTTTCTGTCACTCTGTTGCTTGCTTTTCTACTATGGTTTTGTAATTTTCATTGATAAATGTACTAACACTTATATAATCTTCTTGATTATCAATTAAATGAATTTTTCAGTATGTTGTTGTTTTTATTTCCTTGCTCTGATCTCTTTAGTATTCTTGTTTTAAATTTTTACTCTAAATTACTTATTGAGTTATTTATATATTAAGGGGGAGTAAATTATATTTTGATAATACTAATATCAATCTTAAGTTTTGTCATCATCAAAAAGTGCAAAAATGTTGGATATACTTTGTTATGATGAATACAAAATTTTAGAAAAGGTTTTGTTACTTTTGGAGATATTAATATTATGATAAAACCATCCAAAGAAAGCAAAGAAGCAAGAACAAGAGAAGAAATAGATTTATTAGGTTTGATCTTAGTTCAAATGTTAAAAACCATTATAGAGATCTTGCATTTGCATTCAATGGTGAAAACCTTTTTGAAATGACAAGTCATAGGCTCGCATATATATATTAATTTTAACTTAGAAAGCACTTCAATGTTTGAACCTAGTTTTTCATGAGTTCCAGTTGGAACATGCGTGTTCTAGATGAAATGCCTGAAATTGGCTTTTGTGTGTTGAATTCATTTTCACAAGTTCTAGTTTGCATGCTCACATAGAGAGTCTAGAATAGCCTTAGGCTTTGCCATGCTAAAACATATGAATTACAATATGATGCATGCGAGTTTTAGAGCTACATAGTGAAGGTTGACTGTCTAATTTCAACACGCAAGTTTCAAAGCTGAAACACTTGAAAAATAGATTGGCAGAGAAGACCATGATTCTAGACTTCCCATACACACAAGTTCTAGTCAGTGGTGGAGGCACATACAGTTGAGGATGGGCAAAATGCCCCCCTCAACTTGGAAAAGTGTACAAGGAGTAGGTACAACTTCTAAAAATCTGCACCAATTGCCCAACAAGACCCAACTAAAATGTGTTTGCATTTAAAAAAAAAATTGGGTCTTTTTATATTTCACTTAATCCTATTAGTTTTTAAAATTGAATCCATTATGATTTAATTATTTTTATAAAAATATCATTTTTAATTTTCCTTTTCTAATATTATTTTGAAAAACTATATACATATATATATATATATATAATTATTGTTTTATTATTTTTACATTTTATATAATTTATGCCCCCACTAACTTAGGGTCTTGTATTCACCACTTGTTCTAGTTGTCTTGCTCATGAAAATGAGTATAACTTATGCAACTTGAGACTAAGAAATCCCATTTTCACGAGTTTCAATATCAACCATGTGTGTTTCTATCTAATAACACTCAAGTTTTGCCTAGTGAAAGACTTGAACACCTAAACCAAACATGATTTGTTCTAAGTGTTGTATTCAATTCTTTTCTTACCCTTTTTGGCAAGTTTTAAGTCTTGCCCAAGCGAGTTCTATCCTAAGTCCTCGCGTGATTCATAGTTCTAGAAAAGCCGATGCTTCTGCCTAACTCAAACACACAAGAGTTCCAGAAGGCATGCACTCAATAATTAGCATATGAGCTAAACAGAAGGCTTTCTATTAGTCTCATACAAGCAAGTTTTAACTCATGCATGCGTGTAGTAGAGTTCTAACAAGCATTTAATGAGTTCTATAGATAAAGTTCTTTTTCACAATAACTTCATATCACATGCAATGTGATGGCTCTAAAAAGCTAGTTGAAGTCTCTAAAAAGCTAGTTGGGTGTCAGCTTATTTAACAGATACATACCTTTACCATATGTATCTTTTGTCTCACATACACCCAAAGTCAATTCCAAAGGTCCCGGTTCATATTCAACTTCTCCGCGCTCACTATAAAGTTGGCACTTGATTCTAACCTATAAATGAAGAATACGTGCATTTTATATATTTCGATTAAAATGGAAAATAAAGAATTAATATTATACACAGCTTCATGATCTGCAAAGAAACTTCACACCATGTCTTGTTGAAATACTTCAAATTAATATACACAGAGATAAGATATATTAAATGTCAAAAATATTTTATAGATTCATTGTTGATATGGTAATTCGTGCCACATTTTAACAAATAACATTTGTTATATTCAATTGTCGTGCCAAAATTATGAAATACTTTCAAGAAAATGATGGAATACCATGCTGCTTGCAAGGCCAATATAAATAAATAATTTGAAATGACTTCACAATCATTTGCTGATGGTTCAAACGAAGTGAATTTTTATATTATAATATTCGTTTTTATTTTGTTAGTAACACAACAGAGTTTAATATTATATTTCTTCGTGTACCAAGTATTTAACTTGCATACAAAACTTCAGAAGCTAGTTTATCAATTGTGGATAACAATATATACCAATATAAGAGAAAGCAAAATAATACAAAAGAATATTACCTTATCTCCCTTTTCGGCTTCCCATGCGCCTAAGCCGTATATAATTTCTGAGGTATCAACTATTGATTCCCTAGTTTCTGAAGCAGTAAGTGAACGAAGAATTAATTATACATTATATTCCTCTTTAAGTTGTATGATTCAGTAGTGAGGAGAGAGTTTTGAATCTTCAATGTAGAAATGTGTGCTGTGCGTAGAATTAAACTATGCCAGCCTCAAACATTAAGATTTTTCCCACGAATGTCATGCACGAAATATATAATAATTTAATTTAATAGAATATACATTACACATGAAAAAGATTTTTAAAAAAGCGGAGAAGAGACATAATTATTTTTTAAAAAATAAACTATATATGTTGTATGAAAAATAAGGAAGTAGATTATAGGAATCTATAAATACATACTCCATTTCATGGACATAGAAATTCAAGAGGCAATTCATCATCTATTTTTTTAATTAAGTTCTCTCAGCTAATAATTAACTCTTTCTTCAACTTGGTTTCATAGATTGTGCTCTCTGAAGTTTTTTTTATTGGATATCAATTAATATTAGCAAAATTCATGTAAGGGAAGGAGAAGGGGTCTCTCTATTTTTTTTTAATCATCTTTTTTCCTCAACTTCCACAATTGTAACATCCCAAATTTTTTTAAAGCCCGAATTTGAATTATAAAAAAATATTAATTAATTAAATTAAGGATAATTTAGTAATTAGAAAAATGATTCCTATAATTTAAAAGAAAAAGGATCAATTTAAAAAAAGGGAAAGAAATGAAACAGAACAAGAGAATGAGAGAGTGAGTGATCGTCCAATTTTTGTTCTTCCCTTGCTCTTCTCCGTCGAATTGCACCTTGGGTTCTCACCATCGGCAAGTGTCTGTTCCTTTCCCTTGCAGTTGACATGTTTTGGTTGAGTGGAGTGGCTAAATTTCTTCTCCATTTCTGCTCTGTTGCATGGCTGTCTGAGGTGTGGGTGTGTGCGTGTTTAGTCTTTCTTCTTCCTTTCCTTCTTAGTTGCTCGACATCCATGTGTGTGTTCATAGTAAGCTCAAATCTTTTATTTTTCTAGTCTGAAATTTCTACTTCTCTTCTTTGTGAGTAGCTAGGCTGAAACTCCTTTTTTTGGGGTGTGGTTTGTGAGCTGAAGAGTAGCAGCTCCACTACACTCTAGTCATAGAGATTGTTGGTGGAACCTACTTTGAGGTTAAAGAATAAGCTGAGTCTTATCCTTGTATAAGGAGAACCCTTTTGGTACAAAAGGGTTAAGGTAATAGGGAAAACTTAAATTTTTTATTACTTTATTTAGCTATTTTTGAGTAAATAATACTAGCTAGCATGCATTACATATTCTAAATGATTGAATGCAATTAAATGTGTTTTATAAGGGTTTATAGGGTATTACTTTTATAATAATGCATCAATGTTTTTCCTATTTATTATACAATGGTATTCTTTATGGAAATAAGTTTTGCCAGCATGCATTGTGATTATAGAGATTAGAAGTGAAACTTGGTAAGGTACCTTAAATAGGCTAAGGAACCACTTAAGGAAGGAATTATATATGCTATACTACCTTAGAGTGTTGAAGTGGTCAATACTTGAGAAAGGTAGAAAAGAATAGGAGGCATAATCTTGGTGGGAGTTCACCAATATGAAGGTGTGGACTTGTAATATTCTATGGCACACTACCAGTACTCATTATTGCTATACTTATTTGTGGGCTCAGTACACTAAAGGGGTTAGTGGATTGAGTATTTGACACCTCTCGATGAGGGAAGGAATCCGACATGTGAAGTGTGAAGTTGAGTGCCTAGGTCAAAGTAGCCCTCACATGGAGAGTAACTTAGGTTAGCTCTAAGAGGGAGTTAGCTTCAAGTAATCAAGATTCATGTCAAAGGGGCACAAGGATCATGCCTTAAATTATATTTTGTGCCTATGGATGTATAGGTGGGTACAAGGTTAACTTGTGAGCTGAAAGTGCCAGGGGGCATTATGTTAGTAAAGAAAAGGCTATATTGGCCTATGTCATGCATTCATGCATTCTAAATGGCTTAATTATATGCTATGTTGAATCTATTATTTATTATTACTCAACCATGGCTTTCCTTATAATAAGAAATATAGATTTCTCTATTACTAAAACTATAGTTGTCTCACCCCTTTCTTTTCTATATTTTCAAGTCTAGGTGAAGGATCTAGTGATAGACAGGGGAAAGAGCAGATCTAGGGGTTTGTGTTTGTGGATTGTAAAAAAGTAGCAACCCCTTTCTTTTGAGCATGTGCATTGTAATTAATGTATTTAGGTTCAAGTGCCAGTAGGATGTGGTTGTATATAAATGTAGATATGTGTGTAGTTTGTATGCCTGTGTTGGGTGTTTGTTTGCTTGTAGACTTGTGGCTAAGAAACTTGGTCATGGTGTGTGATTTTAATAGATTCATATAGCAGACCAAGTTTTCACTATAAGCAAATATTTTATTTTAATGTGTGTGTGAGGGGGAGAGAGAGAGAGAGAGAGAGATTCTACAATCAAAAATGCAAAGAGGTTGTATTACATATTATGTATTTGTGACTATTTAGTGGTATGTGCAAACAAGTACCTTGGGTAGGAAAAGTGGGTGCATGGGCCCTACGAGTATATCTGAGCCTAGCATGTATATTTATATGCGTATATGGTGTTGGAATGATTTTTGGCCTTCCTTGCATGATTTTTGTGAATTTTGGGGTTAAGGGTCTATTTTGGGAAATAACACCAAGATGATCAAATTTTGATGTAAGAGGTTTTTCTAGCACTTCACTGTTCTATTAGATACTCCTAGTCCTATTCGACGTGTCTAAGTATTCCCACAGGTTTGTGACCATTAGGATGAGATTTAGACAACTTTAAAAATAGTTTTTATCTAAAATCAACAATTTTTCATCTGGGTGTTCAAATTTCAATTGGCCATTAGATTTTCCTAAATTTTAGGTCACTAAAACTATTTATAACCTTCATGCGAGCCTTAGAATCACCACGATCAGACGTTAAATGGAGAAATAGTGCACTCCAAAAGTTAGTCTAAAGATGCTATCATGACAATAAAATAAAGCTGTCATGACAACAACAATGCCTGTATTTGTAACTTGCACATGGTTTAATCTAACTGTTGGATTTTCTCAAATTTAGCACACTAGTAGTTCTCTTTAGAAGTGATGTGTGGGCTCTAAAATCACTTCAATTGAACGTCGGATGGTGAAATGACTTCTTGTGGAAATTGGCCTAGGAGGTGTTGTCATGACAGCAATTTTTCCCCCCAATTTAGCCTAGTTTTTGCTTCCATACACTAAATGGAATTCTTTAGACTATTCTAAATTGTTTCACATGTCTATTTTGCTATGGTGGGATTAGTTTAATGATTGAAATGGGTTGTCTCTTAAATTGGTTTTAGGATTATCTCCTTAACCATAGTTTGTTCCTTAAATTGTGATGTGTTTTTGCTAACACTTGGGCAAGTATTACGACAATCATGACCATTCATTAAATCTATGGACTAAAACAAATCCATTTAATGTAGTAATATCTATGGTTATGATTGGGATTGTGAAATAAAGGGAAAAGGATGATAAGAAAATGGAAAGACTCCCCTCTTAGAAGGGAGGAAATTTAGTGTGTAATGTGGCAATGAAAAGACAAGAAAAGAGAATTATCTCGCAACCAAAACAAAATTGGGACCTACCCCATGTGTAGGACCATCGAGTTCATTCACAACATACATTATTCATAAAGCTAGAAAATAGGCAGGTTGAGCCCATATGGACTTAGGTCCTAAAGCTTGATTTCTTAAAAATGATTGATTTATGAAACATGGCCCTTATTTAAAAGACTCAGGGCCTGGCTCATAAGCCCATTTTATTTTAAACAATTTTAAAAAAAATCAATATAATAATTTATAATAGTACAAATTAAAATTTCTGAAAATTCAAAATAAATAAATTCTTAATCAAAGAAATAAATAAATACAAATCCATATCCTAAACCTTGATCAAGTCTAAGTTTAAAATGAAGATCCAAAAACTTCATCAATCAGATCTAGAAACTTGATCAAAAATGGTAAGTATAAACCCTTGTGTGTGACAAACTGAAAATCACTTCGTCTGTGAAATGTTATAGGGAAAAGAAGAAATAACTTCAAAAATACACATACTTAAACCCTTGTGGCGAATCTACCAAACAATGCGTTTTAAAATTGGGGGAAGAAAAAGGAAAATAGGTGTAGAGGATTGCTCGGGCTTGAGCCCCTTTTTAGGGACGAGCTTCAAAACCGAATTTCCCAAAAAAAAAAAGCCAATTTATCAAGCATCAACTTTTATAAAAATGAGCCTAAAAATTAGAATGGTCATTAAATCAGGTGATATACTAATTTAATGGTCAATAATTATTAAACCATGGTGAGGCCTGTAATAATTAATTTAATATATTTTTAGTCTTACATATTAAACATAACATTAGCGTAATATTTTATAAAATATTATTTTGCAAAATTAAATATGTAAAATGAGGTTAAATCCATTTTTGTTAGTAAATATCATTGTATTATTAGAATATAAAAATTGAAAGGTAAGATAGTGGGAGGTTGCCTTCTCTCCAATTTAAAAAAAAAAAATATTACCATAGGTCGTCGTCACCAAATTACTCTAGATTTATTTAATATCTAAGAATATAAATTCATTTTGTAGAGAAAATGACAAAGAATAAAGCACTTTTACGATCTTTATTAAAACTAAATCAAAAATAAAAATTTTAAAGAAAAATATAGATAAATATTTGGAAGTATAAAGACTAAAGATACATGCATGGCTATTATATATACAACATGTGACAATATTATTAGTTGACTGACTGTTATTCTGACTTGATAAACTTTTTTTTATTAATAAATACTTAGTTTTTACAAGCGTGATCCCTTAAATATTATGAGACATGTTTCAGTTAAAAAATGAGGATGCCAATTAATCCACATAATTAACACTTTAAGGTGCTAGCTGTTTTTTTTTTTCCCCATCACAAATATTCCATGGGTAAAAATGTCCTTTGATTCAATTTCTTTCTTCACCTAGGCAGCATGTCACAAGTCAATCAAACATGCTCCTTTTTTGGAGTTAATGTTCAATGTTGTTGTTTGTTAGTCCAATGACAACATTGCAATAATGTTAACACTCAAAGTATACCAAAATATTTAAGGGACCAGAAAGTCATTTGACCCAAAATGTTAATACTAATACTCCCTTTATCCCAAATTATAACACATCTTTACACAAAATCTCATATACTAACAAACCTTATTAAATATATTTAACAAGCTTATTTTTCAAAATAAAAATATAAACTTTCAAAAATACCCTCATTTAATATATTGAAAAGAGAGAAGATGAATATTAAATAAAGAGAGAAAGGGTAATTTTAGAACAAGCATATTTAATGAAACTTTGATATTATCAAAGTACCTTATATTTTAGGATGCCGAATCTTTTTCAAAAGTGCCTTATAATTTGAAATGGAGAGGTAATACTTTTACTTATAAAAAAGGAGCAGTAATGATTCTTAGGTTATGAAGAATTGGAATAATTTTTTTTATTGGATAATAGAATTGGAGAAATTACCTTCTTGATTAGGCCTCGCTTCCATCATGGAAATATGCCCTACACAGAAAGCTGCCTCCTCATTTTTTTAAGAAAATAAACAAAACAAAAGAGGGAAAAGGATAAAAGGAAAAATGATTGAAAAACACTCCTAAAATATGCAAGTGACAATGAGTTCTCATGAAATGTGATAATGTTTTCATGTCCTTGAGACTTTTCTAGCATTAATATCTTTTGAGAAATGACTATAATGATCCAAATGTCAAGTCTAATGATAAGAGAGTGGAGTCACAGTGTTATGATCAATTCTATGATAAAATGATTAAACAATAAGGTAGTGTAATAAAGTAAAATTGTTTAAAGTGAAAGGCAAATTACGGACTAAATCTATCAAAAGGTGGAGGAAGACATAAGCAAAAGAGTAACTAGTGAAACATATATAAACAATTCCGGCGGCGGTTACATTTTCTTTTCTTTCTTCTCTTCCTATTGTTTTCTCAATCTAGAATGCTCCGATCAAATTAAAACGATTTCAGATTTAATATTTTTTTTCAAAAAATAATTGAGATGTAAAAATTTAAAAGATAAATAATGAAATATCAACCACTAAAATTTGATATAAACGATCCATAAGAGAGAATAGCAAAGGGGATAGAATGAGGTTTCATTTCATTCTAGACAATAATATTTTCTTAAACATAGGAAAGACGCTATAGATCAGTATAGATCTCTATTAGTCTTCAACCTCCTTGCATCTTCCTCTTCCTTCTCATCAAATATTGTTCAAATGAGTAACATTACTCGAGATTTGGATCAGTCGAATATACAAAATTGCGAAGAAAAAATAGAGCATTGTATATCTCTTTAAACAGACAATTTTTATCCTAAAAGAGAATGGGAATACCTTTTCACCAAAGGCGATACGATGAAGATACTTATTCACAAAGCAAAACGAATATAATCTCTTATGGTCCGTTTGGGGACATCTGATAACAACCTAATGAAGCACAGTGTCTTGGACAGGATAGGAAACTGAAAAATCAAGTCAGTCATCAATCCGAAACAAATCATTTCACGGTATTTAAATCTTAAATGATGATGGAAGGTGAAAATAATAAATAAATAAATAAAGATAAATCAAGTTGAATTATTTTACATAGTGAGAACATGCATATGCATCTAGTCATATATAAAACAAAAGGCTGAATCAAATTCCATTGGATCTTTTTTTTTTTTTTTTGCCAACCATTAGATTATTTATGATTACGGAATCATTTAATTTGACGAAATTAAAATCTTTGTATCTATCAGCAATGCTTAAAAAAAAAAAAGTTTGGCATTATCGCGAGCGGCTCCCAAAGAACGATGACATTAATTATTGAATATAGACCATTATTGCTGGTGGTATGTTGACTCGTAATAACTAATAAGAATTTATGGAGATGCTTTTCATAGGCAAGTATGTGCGATGTTGATCAGGGAGTTCATGGGTCATGAGGAGTTTTGATATAGCTTTGGGCTTAATTTAATTTTGTGTCGTTTTCCCCTTCGCATTTGACAAAAAAAATTTAGTGAGTTAGGTGAAGAGAGAATACCAATATCATAACAGGATTAAAGCCTAGAATTTCATGTATGAAGGTATTTACAAATTTTACCATCAATGAAGTCCTCCTATCTTCATCATCATAAGTGTGATTTGAAATTCTTAAAGAAAATGAATTAAATGGTTTAAATTAGGGGAATGATATTAAAGGATCAAAAGATTGAATTCAACTCAAATAGTGACAAAAAGATTTAAAATCCAAAATAATTATCAAAATACAATAATAAAAAATTAAAATATTATATGTCCAAAATATGACAGCTTAAAAAAAAATCTGTGATATTGAACTCACTTGTTAATTGAATTCCTATAAGGTATCATAGTTATTGCCAATAACACATACTTACTCCCAAAGTACATTTCATTGGCTAAACTAGAACCACACCACAAACTCCTGCTGGAGTTAGTACCACAACTATCCAACATTCGGAGCTATCTAAGTGTTGTCCATTCCGTATAGACTTATAGTGCAACAATCTTTTATCTAAGGTGAACTCCTACCCATTTCACTTTTACAATCATGCCATCAATGTTCTCAAACTCAACCATGCATAATAATATATTATCACCTGCCGACGTGTTCATACTTTCAGTCGTTGTACTTAATTACAAAAAATAACATAGGCATAGTTCTCAATAAATCCCAATTCATGCTCATAATTCACAATATAACATAATTTACTCAATTTATCCACAACTTTCAACAATTCAATTCATAATCACTTTACACATTTTCTAAAAGCATAATATGGCTTTTTCATACTTAACATGCAATTTCATAAATTTTAAATACCAAGAACACTTAAAAAAGCATATGAAGGAATTTAGGTTCCCAGTTAGATCCACCTCTTAAGTCACTCAAAAGAAGCACTTGTAGATTCAATCCAATTCTAAGCTCCTAAATTAGATGCTCCAAGATCTCAAGAGAGTTTAGTCTACAATTAGACAACTCAAAATCAATGTCTATCACAAACACAATTTTCCTAATTACCCATTTAACTAAAAAAATTGCCAAAATTCATTTTACTAGATAACCTTGCAATCTAAGGGTCCCCTTAGCTTTATTAGACCCTAATGAATCTAACTAAAAGCATTATCTTCTAAGTTAATCTACACATTTACCCATCATATCTTAGGGTTTGCTTAAACACCTAAAAATCGGACATAAATCTCAAATAATTCACGCCAACTATTCTAGTAACAATTATACACTCCCATTAACTCCATTTCATCAATCTATCACAAACAAAATGTCCCCCAAGACAAGAACAACCAGAAATTCCAAATCAAGAGGAGAGAAAATCTAAAACCCTAATTGAAAACTAGCTAGAAAGGAAAAGGAAGTGATTAGAAACTTACCCCAATTGATTTTTAGCTTCAAATCACTCTCAATTGGCTGAAAATCCTTACCCTAGCACAATCCTAATGGCCCTCTCTCGTTGTTGCTCTTTTCTTTCTTGTTTTTTGCATTTTTCAGCTATTTAAAATGCAAATCTGCCAGTTTGACCACAGGCAGTTGTGCACGTTAAAATTTCATTTGTCCATGGTTGAACTCACTTAAATGAGTTCCTACATCTGTTTTTCAACTAAGGGCAATTAAGATTATTGAAGGTTCTAACCATGAGTAGTGGTAAACAGAAGCCACAACCATTTCCAATGAGATCCATCGTGAGCAGTCAAGGCTAGAAAAAGCACCTAAATTTAACCCCACATTAATTAAAATTAATTTCTAATTTATTCTTAAACACTTAGCTTAATTTTTGGGATGTTACACTAGATTCCATGAAACAAGTATAGCTTGAAGCCATGAAACAAGCATGAACATATAATCTACAAGGATAATTAAAAAACTGAGCAAGAGTGGCTTAAAACCACAAAACAGTATGAGTGTGATGTTCACGGATACCAAGCTAGCTATGTTTTAACTATGGCGCACCAAGGGCAAACAAACTAACGTTACCAACTAGCATTCTGATTCAATCTCTAAATAAAATTTGGAACTCAAATTGCAAACTAAGGTAAGTGGAAATGCAATTTAAATAGAGTAAATTACAAATTCTTGGAATTGAACAAGTAAATTCTCATGAGAAAAATAAATATTGAGATTATATTCATAAATAAAATTGGGATGTAAAATTGCAAATTATAGTAGATTAAGTTGCCAGTTCCTAGATTTGAATAAATAATCTTATAAATAACTCAATGTTTAAAATTGGTGTTTTTTTAAAAAAATTGTGTTCTTAAATTAAATTGGGAAACCAAGTTACAAATTAAAATAGAAGGAGTCATGCAAATTTCAGAATGTAAGCTGTAAATTTGTGAGTTTAAAATTTTGTCAAGACGTCAATTAAAGACCCAAGGAACTTTCATGATATTTTGAAATTTGTGAGGTTTTAGTGGGAAAAAATTATCTCTTTGGGACATTAAAATATCTTAAAAAGTGCACGAATTGAAAAATATCTTAAAATAATATCTTTTTTTTAACCAACATCTTAAAATGATATCTTAAAAAAGGAAAAATTAAACTGAAAAAAATATCCCTATGCCTTTGACCGCCTTTGATATACGTCTTGTATGTCTATCTATTGCACACCTTTTAAAGCATTAAAGATCTTCAAAGGATGGATTACAAATATTATGCAATAAAATTTGCATGGCATTAAGTTTAAACAAGGATTAAGGAGCAATTTGATTTTTAAATTATAAATTTAGAAGTGTGTAAAATTTAAAAATTATTTTTTATATGATACTCTATTTCAACTTTTGAAAATTGTATAAAGTAGCCCTACTGTTAAAAAAATTAAATTTGACCATGGCTTGAAAATGATTAAAAAAAAAAGAAAATTACGCAATATGAGCTAAAATTTACAAACAAGGACCTGAAAATTACAAAAAGGACAAAAAAAAATTTGGTCTTTCTCAATGATTTTTGAGATCATTGATCAACTAATGGTTAAAGTTAGACTTTGTTAATGTTAGAAGCTATAATGTACCATTTTCAGAAATTAAGAAGGAGCATTATATTGCATTAAAAATGAGTTTTGGGTTCCAAATACTTCTAGACTTACAGTTTAAGAGTCAAATTACTCTACAAATAATAAGAAGGAGATTTTGGGTACATGTTGTAAGTAACCCTCGTTGGTATATGGCTTGCATGACTTTATGATACTTTGAAAAAAGGAAAGATGAGGAGAGTACTCAGCGGATTTATGTAAAATAAGAAGGAAAAAACCCTGCTTTTCCCCCCCTTATTTGGATGGAAAAATTGAGGCCTCCTCTTATTTGGCAATAATATATTGGAAGGGAGGGGAGGGAAAATTTAATCCCCTCTCAACTCACCCCTCCAAATTGGGAGATTTGGACAAATTGGGAGATTTGGAGGGATACCTCCCTCTCCCAACAAATATAAATTTTTAAAAATACTCTTCATTTAATATAATCTTATTTGTGAAACATTAAATAGAGAGAAAAAATATTCCAATGAGAGATAGATAATATTAAAAGAAATATAACCAATGAAACCTTATTTTTGTCAAAATATCTTACTTATTTTAGGAAATTGAATCAACTTCAAAAGTATTTTATAAATTGGGTTGGAAGGAGTAATAGATAGATAGACTAGTGAAACAACATTACAATTAAGATTCCTGTTATGTATAAAAAAAACATTACAATCAGCAAGATGCATTTATATGAATTATAAAAATTATGAATAAAAACAATAAAAATGAGTGGCACTAGAGAGAAAGCGATATTTTTAACTTCGGAGAGCCAATGAATACATGTAAAATAGAATTCAATTGATGAAGCATATCTTACAAAATAAATACTAAACCGTTTGTAGGAAAGCTGTAGCCTGTACCCACCATATATTGAATGTCTCGTTCCCTGCGCAAATAAAGGTTAAAAATACTCCACCTTTATTGGTTTTAAAAAAAAAAAAACTTCACCTTTAATTTTAGAAGCAATTTTTGTCTTTAATACGGGGTGCATTATAAGGTATTAATTAAATTTTTTTCAATATTACCGCTATGTAAACTCATTAGCTGTATGAGAGAATATAATATAAATTTAAAAAAATCTTTTTAAATAGGGATAAAATTATATATTTATTTTATTTTTAGACAAACTTAATAATTTATATGGCTGGAGGTGAGTAAGTCAGAGATGCCTTATAATATTTAAGAAAGATTGCTTGGTTTTGGTGAGATAGTTGGAGGAACCTTATAATGAAAACCAAAAAGAAGTAATCTGTTTAGCAAAGACTTTCCATGGCACAGTTGGAGTAATCTTTCTAATGCAAATAAGGAGGTAAGGTATATATCTCACTGGATTCCTATTAGATAGTTAGAGGGAGCTTAAAATAAAGACCAGATAGATTAATCTTTAACGAAGACTTTCTAAGGCATAGTGTCAGTGATTTGCCGGGGGGGGGGGGAGGAGGAAAATTTGAACAAGGAAGAAGAAAATGCTCTCGCATCCATCGTGTGGCCAACTCATTAGTTATTCCCCCTAGTCGCCCCATATATTTTTTAACACCGTTGTGTCCATGTGTTGGTCCATTAATTCAAAACTTAGGGACCAGCACCTTGAAAAAATTAATTTTAAATATTAATATAAAATATAAAGTTCATATAACAGCAAGAGAGCATGCTTCATGCAGCTGGTTCGAAGATTATTTATATATATTTTAAACATGAAATATAGTGTTACTGATGCTTCCTAGGGACAAAAGATCAGATCATGTGAGTTCTGAAAGATATATGTGCAGCTGTCTCGAATAGGACAATAGGGGCATCTTCTTTATCAGCCTGTGTTTCGGATCTCTGCCGTCTGCGAAATTTAAACAATGAAATTCGTTTACTTCTATGAACTTCATCCTACGACAAGGACAAAAGTGAGGACAAAAGAACATACATGGCCTGCATGTAGTGAAAGGAATGCCCTTTCTTTTTCTTTCTTTTTTTCTTTTAAATGACCTAATATCGGTCACTGAAGATAACAATTGACTCCTTGTAGACATTCAAAAATTTCCTTCAATCCCTAAGTCACGACTTTTCTCGGAGTTTCTGCCTGGGAATCTGGAAGATTGTCGGGGTGCCAGAAGCAAATGAAACAGCAAAATAGTGCGTCAGCTGTTGGATGGGCTATATTGAGGTCTCTGTGGCAAGATTCTGAAGATCATTTGATGATGTGAAGAAGTTGAGATAGAAAGGGATCCTCAAATGGTGCTGCATCAACTAAGCGTGGATACAAGTACAGTAGCTTGGCATTGGTACCCTACTTCGCTGCTACTACCCAAATTATTCAAGAGATCGATGAAATATGTGGAATTTACTCACGTATCTAGAGAAACCAAATGGTAGGCCAACGAGTTTGGCTCAGATTGCCTCAGGAGTTTGGTTCTTCAAAGAACACAAAATCATTGTCGTTCAAAAGAGTGAACACCCCTCGATACAGGTCAGAGCTATGCCAGTATTCTCAGTAAATTAGGATCAGGAAGCGGCTGCAGAATAGAGAGAAGAAATCAAGAACTACATGCTCAATCCTAACAGTAGAGCTACCTACAAAATGAGATTAAAAGCACAACAGTTCACCGTTTTAGGCGACGGTTTATAAAAAGTCTCAAGAAGGAATTTTGCTTAAATGTTTTAGGCGAAAAGCTTTATTCTGAAGCTAGAAGATAATTTTCATGATGTGAAGTGGCCAGAACTGCAGCTGGAACTTGGTCGATCACATAGATCTTTGTGAAATATAATGAGTTCGATGCGAAAATCTGTGGTAAAAGTAAGCACTGCTACACTTCCCTCCATTTTGTGTTAATTAGTGGAAGCTAGCTCTAGTAATTCTCTCAAACGGTTTCTTCTTTTGAAAATGTTTGGTGTCATTCTAGCGGAGGCTGTTTCTAGAGCAAGTGAGCAATTTCTGGTTCAACGTTCAACGCAGTAGGTTCTAGGATCTTTATCGTTGTCTTCGACAAAGGTTTCATGGTGCAGTAGTTCCTGCGTCTTCATCGTCTTTGCTTTAGGTGGTCGTTCTTTCTTTCATTCTTTCCCCTCATATATGTAAATATCAGTTATGTTAATAGTTTATGGGTTCTTCTTCTTCTTCTTCACTGGTAATGATTTTTCTATTTTGCCAGATTCCTTTGATCGATTGTTAATGGCGCCATTGACGGCGGGGGAGCTTTGTGGACGGTGGCAAACGATGGGGAGTGTTCGACTGTTAAGGGTTGGATTTATTTTTATGGCTATCATAGCGTTTTCCTAATATAAATATATACCTCAAATAAAATTAATACATCAATTCTATCAACATATCCGATCAAAAAGTTCCATCAAGACATCAACATACTCAACGTATATATGCTCGTTAGGACACGGCTTCCTTCTTTGCGCCGTGCCTTCTTTGCCTCTCCTCTGCAACTTGGAGAAATATAAATTGTCATGATTAAATGTGGGATGGTGCAAATCTTTTCATAGGTGCATAGGAGAGAAACTGTGTAGTATACAATCAAGATTTATAAAAGCAAATTTTAAAATAAAACATAATATTGAAAATGCGGTTTGGATTTAGAAAGTTTAAGTTCAGTTAAAAATATCATTAAAAAAATAAAAATTGGCTAAAATATGTATCTTCTAAACCTTTTATTTTTTATCATATATTTTTTTATTATTTTAATTATTTTATTAATAGAAGTTATCATGTTATATTAAAAAATGCGTAATGATTTATATAGTATTGAAATTAAGCTTATGTATGTGCTTCAAAATTCATGAAAAGTTTTATATATTTTTGTCATAAAAATATAACAAAAGTATATTAAATTGGAGAATAATTTCCCTATAAAGTTGAGTATGTTAGTCTTACTTTTAACTAAATGACTTTTAACAAATTGACAATTAAACATAAACTTAAAATTCACTTCCATTCCATTTTCATTTTCAAGTTCCAACCCACCAGCAATCAGAAACCCTACTATTGTACAAATCAAGGCATAAGAGTTGTTTTTGAGTTAGGGAACAAGTCTAGTGAGTTCCAGAAGATAAATGTCATCAATCCTATTCTGAGCACCCTTGGACCTTAGCCAAAAATGCAGGCACCTGAATTGAATTCTCTCACGAGTGACGATTATTTATTTATTTAATTTATTATTTAGGCTCATTCCCATCCGCCCATCAATCCTATTCTGAGCACCCTTAGACCTAAGTTGGGAATAAAAGTCGGGTCTGAAAGGCTGAGCTTAGATGTCATGTTTAAATAAAGGTTGGAATTTTAAAAATTAATTACCTCCTCCGTTCAAAAATGTAAAACATTTTTTTTAGGAGTTAGATATTAAAAAATATAAGGTATTTCTAGTCTTTCGAGGTGTAATCATTGCCTTTTTTTCAAAAGTATCCCTATTGATAATGACTTTATATTTATTGTAGGGTGTTTAATAGAGACAAATATGAAAAGATAGGGTTAGTTTAAAAGTAGGTAACTACTTTATTGGGGATAAGATTCAGTTAAAAATGCCTTACATTTTTAAATGGAGGGAGTATTTTTAAAGTAACTAGGGTTGAGGGCCTAGCCCTAAAAAGCTCTGTAAAAAAGGGCTCAGGCTCGGGCAATCATTTAACTCTGATTATATTATTATTAATTTTTTTCTTTGTTGGAATACAATTTTGAAACCAAGAAGGACTTGCTCACTTAAAGCTCTGATCCTACACGTGTTATATTATTATTAATTTTAATTTATTTTAAAATTAATTCAATATAATTTAATAAATATCAATGTACAGTAAGAAATTTCTAATTTTTTTATTTTTCTATAATTATTATGTTTGTGTATTTATAACAAATAAACTTTTTTAATTAAGATTTAAATTTTATTACTAGACTTCTAAACATAAATTGTTTAATTTTTAGAAGATTATAAAAATTTTAATTTTTTTAATTTTAAAATATTTTAATTAATTTATAGTGTTTAATTTTTTTAAATCAATATATCACCTCAATTTGTTCTACTAAATACATCCTTGTGAACAATGCCAGCTCACCTAAGACTCTGTGACACAAGCTTCTCAAGTTACATTTAGTTGAAAGTGGGCTAGGTAAAAAGTCTCATTGGGCTTCATGTAAGAGACATCCGAGAAAGAAGCTTAAGTCAGCGTCAATACATCATGAGAAGATAAAAAGCTTTTTCGAGTGGGGCTGCAAGCTCTTCTAAATTTTCTTTTAATATAAGAGTTAATATTCTATTTAAAAATAAAAAAAATAAAAGAGTGAAGCGTCACTTCCATCACTCGAAAGACCCGAGTCATTTTACTACTTTCATGACGATAATCAAACGACAGAGGAAAGGAGTCACAGGGCATTTCACGCTAGAGGCAAGGTTGTAAGAGTAATGGTAGAATGAAGACCTAGGTATCTCACTTCTCTCTCCCTCATGGTTTCCTTCTTCGCTTCATATTCTCTTCAAATTTCAAATCTTTTTCTTTGTTTCTCACCATATCTCTTTCATCTGTTCTTTCCCTTAGAGAAAAAGACAAGGCATGGCTAAAAGCAGAGTTGGGGCAGTGATGCAAGAATTCAGAAACATAAAGTTGGAGAAGAGGCCAAGGACTTTGGGATCAAGGTAGTAGGACTTCATTTTTTTTTAATTTCAATCCCTCTTTCGGTAAACATAAACTTTTAATATATATATATATATATATATGATAACAGAGGAATGAAAGCCAAGGGGATGAAAGGGTTGAGTAGCATGATTTTGAAGAGAAAAGAGAGGATGAGATGATGCAGAGGTTCAAAAGGAAGGAAGGAAGCAAAAGACTACAGCTAGTGATTCCTTGCTTCTACTTACCTTCTCTTTATGTTACTAACTTCTAAACATCAAGATTGAACCTTGAGATCTTGATCTCGTGATTTGACCTGATGGAGATGGCAAGGGAGTTTTGAATGAGCCGCTTTGCTTCTAATAAAATTCTTATTTTCCTTTTTCTTTTCTTTCTTTTGGTGCAAAGGAGATTCAATGAAGGAAGTCTAGGAAATTTTCTACTGGATATATGGGTTTTGTTGTATCAATGATTAGAAATCTAGCTTGGAGCCAAAAAGTGTGGACCATCCAAGGAGAAGTAATGTATCCCCCTCTTTTCTTCGACTTTTTGTGGGTTCCTTTTTGAGCCTTTATGCTTAATCAGTAAATCTTTAGATATTAAATTACTAACTTTGGCTTTTAATAACAGGTGACTGCAATGAAGAGATCTATGAATAGTACTTTAGAAGCTGATCTTGATCCTGATATGACTAAAAAGGTTACAGCCTCGATTGAGGAGATGATCCGGTAAAGGATCGTTGAAGTAAATTGAAAAGCTAAGATTTCATCAATATGGACTTTTACTGTGATGCTCCGTGTATTTTATTCAATGATAGGAGGCTTTTGACATTATTTATCTAAAATACTATGGGCTAAGCTGATCTGTGCTCAGAGCCACTTGATTTTAACTTATACATGAGACTTATATTTTGTAGCCCTCAAATACACTTCAGTAAAACCACATGTCTTTGTTTTTTCCAACTTATATTTATGTTGATTATAGGGACGTTTTGATCACCTTCGAAGGGATCCCAAAATTCTATGAAAGCGCCTAGGGAAGTAAAAGAGTTGGTAACCTCAATTTCCATAAAATAAATAGAATATTAAGACTTAGTTGCTTCCCAGCTATATTGGTGATAAAAAATATGGCAAATATTACTTTAGGAGAAAATAATTTATTAGTTCTTTATTGCTTTTCATTAGTCTATTAGTTTTTGTTGCTTTTCACTTAACTTTTGTAAGTTTCCTTCTTGTGAAAGAAACCAGGCAGCAAGTGGACGTTTCCTTGTTAGGAAGGAAACCTCATATTTATAAATAGCATGACTTGTGTATTTAGGAAAAATGAAAAATGAATGAAGTTATTTGATATATTCTGAAAATTCTCTCCCTCCAGTCTGCGTCCTACCCCTCTCAGTTTTTCCTCCCTCTTTGTTCTGTCCTTCCTCATCTCTTCCCCCACTACCCTGTTCTCATCCCTCTCCCTACCACTCTCTGTTTTTGTTTCATCTCACTTTTCCTTTTCTATTTAAATCAGTGTGAGCGTGAGTGTTTGTGTTTTACATCAACTTGGTATCAGAGCAAGGCTCTAAACGTTCCTAGGTTATTTCTGCGGCTGGAGATCGGAGAAAAAAAACTCATAGGGAAGCTCAGCATACTCTGTTCACGCTGCCAGCACCCAGAGCAGAATTACCCAATGTCAGATCCGAAAACGGACGCCACCATCATGCTCAGGAGGAGAAATCCAATCAGAATCAGAAAAACCACCTCCACCCACAGTCACAAGCGCCGGCACGCACCGTCAGAGTTTATGCGCGTGGTCCTCACGCGCCTCACATGCCGTCCGTACAGTTCGCCAGAAACTAATTTTTAGTATTTTTGCGGAATTTCTTCAACTCTGAAGAAGCTAAGAGGCACAAGTCATCGCCTAAACTTATTTGGGGGTAAAACTTTTTGTTTTAGGCTCCTAAAGTAACTCTGTTAAGGCCAACAACCCTCTCATTTAACTGACTTATTTGGTTATTAAAGGGAGGTGTTTCATTCATAGCTAGTTCTAAAATCTTTGTTGTGTGGTACTTTGGTTTCTTTGAGCATTGCAATTTTTATTTTTATTTTAATCGTGTTTTAATTTAATATTTTGAAATATATATATATATATATATAAAAGGAGATTTACATTGATCATTATGTTGTTAATTTATGACTTTTGATAGCAGTGTTCGTATAACCTAGGACACCTACTTCACACACAATTCGCCCCTATACCCAGGTCCAAAAATTACCCTAGGTTAGTTGAAGTTTCTAACGGTTTTCCTGAAAGGTTTTTGAACTTTTGGAGATTTTTGTGAAGACTTCACTCGAGTTGTTACCTATTTAGCATACGATCCCTATGGAATTTTTGAATTCTTAGAGGATTAGTGTTGTTAAAAAGGGACTTCACCTATTTAGGTAAGGGAAACTTGGGGCCTTTCTTCCTTAGGTTATTAAATCCACTCCAAACTTGCACTTTACTATACCATCTTTGTCATTGTATGACCATTCATGATTTATACGATAAGCAAGCTTTATTAGACCAAGAAATTACTGCCCTAAAATTTGCCATGGCCAATAACTCCCAAATCACCCAAAATCATCTTGAGGAATCTAAAAGGACTCAAAGGGTATATGTGGACCAGCGGCTAGATGAAATTAAAGAATTCATAAACAATAAATTTGAAGAGATAATGGGGGCAATTTAGTTGACATACAGACAAGATACGGGGAAAACAACTGAAGGGTTACTTGAAAGACCTATCGTTAGAGGAGAGTCAAGCCTTAGAAATGAGCAATTCTCAGTCCACAATCAACTTAAAGGTAATTCCCTTAGGATTGGTTGTTCCTCTAGAGCTATGGATGAAAGACACAGTAGACCATCTCCTTATGAGTTTACCAATCATCATTCTAATGACATAGATGATACTTGGAATGTACAAGGGCCTGAAGAACAACATCATAGACCATACCAGTTAGTCTAAAGGAATGGTAGAGAAGGCCTTAGAAGGACACATACTAATGACATCACCAAAAAGGTTAAAGTTGAAGCTCCTGAGTTTGATGGACGATTGAATCCTAGTGTGTTCCTAGATTGGTTAGCCAGCATGGAAGATTATTTTGAATGGTATGACATGAGAGATATTCAACGAGTTTGGTTTACGAAGATGAAGCTTGTGGGATCTGCTAGAAAATACTGGCAAAATGTCCAAAGGAACATTGAGCGATAAGGTTATCCATCGATTGAGACGTGGGATGAAATGAAGGCCAAACTGAAAGAAAAATATGTGCCGACTCATTATAAAAGTCAACTGTATAACAAATACCTTAATTTGAGGCAAGTCTCCACAGCTTTCGAGTATATTTCTCAATTTGATGACCTTATGATTAGATGTGATGTGGATGAAGAGGAATGGCGCACCATTACCAAGTTTGTTAATGGGCTCAAGCCATATATACAGAAGGAGCTCAAGTTAAACTTTCTAGAGTCTCTTGAAGAAGCTTATCATAAGACTTTGGAAGTAGAGTCTCTGTCACAGTACTCGTTCGTAAAGCGTATCGACATGCAGAGCAATCAATTTAGACAAGCACAAACTTCTAGTCTGTCTGAACGACCAACAGGAGCACTTACATCTAGGCCTAGCTCGTCTTTTACACCTACTCAAACAACTGGGTTGAAGGGTAATACTTCTAAGCCTAGTGAGGCTATAGTTCCTGCTTCCTGCCCTAACAATTCTTTTATTGAATGTTTTCACTATCACTCAAAGGGTCACATTACGTCAAAATGCCCACAGCGTACTCTAGTTATTGACTCACAATGTGAGGGTGAGGAAGACAATGCAAATGCTGACGTTGTCATAGATCCGGTTGAGTGTCCTTCAGATATCGATGAGGACATCATCATTGATGAATATGGGTATAAGACACGTCGAGTTGGAGTTATGCGATGCATCTATCTGTCCCTCTGCCTAGTGATTCATGGAAGCGAGCAAGTATTTTCCACACTTTTGTGAAGTGTGGAGATAAAGCTTGCAAATTAGTAATTGATGGAGGGAGTTCTAGAAATGTTATTTCTAGTCAAGGAGTAGCCCGACTCCGCATCAAGACAGAACCTCACCCAGAACCTTTTCGTGTTGTATGGGTTGACAAGACTTCTTTACCAGTCACTCAATAATGTCGTGTTCCTCTTCACTTAGGAGACTATAAAGAAGAGATTATTTATGATGTTCTTCCAATAGATGTTGCTTACATTTTACTTGGTTGACTATGGCTTTATGACTACAATGTTATCAATCATAGTCGTGAGAATACCTATGCATTTAAGCATGGAGGCAAGACCATCCTATTACGTCCTGCTAAGCTTGACAACGAAAGTAAATACTCAAGTAAATCAAAAGGCACAAAACCCATAACCCACAACTTGCATCTTCTGATAGAAAAACAATTTGTACAAGAAAGCAGAGAGTACGATTGTGTTTATTTTGGTATCCAAGATTTCACAACAAATTGCTACTACTTTAGAAATGCCAGAAGAGGTGCAACAGCTCTTACAACAATTTTGAGATATCACTCTAGATGAGCTCCCATCTAAATTACCACCAATGAGAAATATCTAACATGCAATTGATTTCATTCCAGGTTCACAACTCCCTAATCTACCGCACTACAGGATGAACCCTAAAGATAGGGTAGATCTTAACCGACAAGTCAATGGATTGTTGGAAAAGGGTTATATCTAGCATAGTATGAGTCTTTGTGCAGTACCTGCTCTTTTAACCCCAAAGAAAGATGGCTCCTGGAGAATGTACATAGACAGCAGAGCCATCAACAAGATCACCATCAAGTATAGGTTTCCCATTCCTAGACTTGATGACATGCTTGATTTAGTGTCTGGATCTAGTTGGTTTTCAAAGATTGACCTCAGAAGTGGTTATCATCAGATCAAGATTCGACTTGGAGATGAGTGGAAGACTGCTTTTAAAACGCAAGATGGGTTGTTTGAATGGCTTGTCATGCCTTTTGGGTTATCAAATACCCCAAGTACATTCATGAGAGTAATGACTCACCTCCTTCGCTCATACTTGGGAAAATTTTTGGTGGTATACTTTGATGACATACTAGTTTTTAGCAAGTTAAAAGAAGAACATTTGAAACATCTCGAGTTAATTTTTCTCACCTTGCGTCAAGAACAGTTTTATGTTAACTTGCCTAAGTGTTCATTTCTTCAAAATCAAGTCATCTTCTTGGGTTTCATAGTTTCTGAAAAGGGTTTAGCAGCTGACCCTGAGAAAGTCCAAGCCATTCGAGAATGGCCTGAGCCACAATCTCTCCATGAAGTACGGAGTTTTCATGGCCTTGCTTCTTTCTATAGACGCTTCATTAGAAACTTCAGTACCATTATAGCTCCTATCACTGATTGCTTAAAACAAGACAAGTTTTAATGGACATCTACAGCTTTCGTGGCTTTCCAAGATATTAAGAAGAAGCTTTCTCAAGCTCCAATCTTGTTTTTACAAAGTGTTTCGAAGTTGCTTGTGATGCGTCTGGGACAAGAATCGGAGGTGTACTAAGCCAAGAAGGTCACCCTGTGGCTTTCTTTAGCGAAAAGCTCAATGATGCCAAACAAAAGTACTCCACTTATGACAAGGAATTTTATGCGATTGTGAGATCCCTTGAGCATTGGAAGTACTATCTTCTTCCGTAACAATTTGTTCTTTACTCTGATCATCAGGCGCTTAGGTTTATCAACTCTCAGCGGCACTTAAATGCTAAACATGCTAAATGGGTTGAGTATATTCAGGGATTCACTTTTGTGGTCAAGCATCGTTCTGGAACAGAAAATATAGTGGCTGACGCCCTGAGCCGTCGGATCAACTTGTTGCACACTATGAGCGTTAGTGTTGTTGGTTTTGAAAACTTAAAGGAAGACTATGTTTCATGTCCAGATTTTAGGATAATATACCAAGAAGTTCGCAATGGTAACCGTCATGAGCATGTTGATTTCATCCTTAAAGACGGTCATCTCTTTTGTGGAAGCAAGCTGTACATCCCATGTACTTCTATGCGAGATTTTCTTATATGGGAGTAACACGCTGGAGGTTTAGCTGGTCATTTCGGGGTTAATAAGACAATGGCATTAGTCGAAGATAAGTTCTATTGGCCTTCACTCAAGCGTGATGTGGCTCGCATAGTGTCTCAATATCAAAATTGTCAAACTTCTAAAGCCAGGCGACAGAATACCGGTTGGTATACTCCTTTACCAATTCCCGAGGCACCTTGGAAAGACTTGAGTATGGATTTTGTCTTAGGATTGCCTCGCACAGCTAGAGGTCATGACTCTGTATTAGTTGTTGTGGACAGGTTTTCAAAGATGGCTCACTTTATTCCTTGTAGCAAAACTACGGATGCTTCACATCTGGTAAAGTTGTTCTTCAAGGAGATTGTGCGTCTGCATGGGTTACCTACCACTATCGTATCTAATAGAGATGTTAAGTTTGTTAGCTACTTTTAGAAGACCCTATGGAAACCTTTTGGTACCCAATTGAAGTTCTCTTCTACTTTCCACCCCCAAACTGATGGGCAAACTGAAGTCACTAATTGTAGTTTGGGTAATTTGCTTCGGAGTTTAGTTGGAGACAGGCTGAAGAACTGGGATTTGGTTCTACCCACTACAGAGTTTGCATATAATAATTCAGTGAATAGGTCTACAAGCATGAGTCCTTTCCAGATTGTTCAAGGTTTTAATCCTAAACAGCCTATTGACCTCCTACAAATCCCATTGACATTTCGCATCTTTGAATCTGCAGAATCCTTTGCCAATCGCCTTCATGAATTACATGCTGAAATTAGGCGCAAATTAGCGACAAGTAATGATCAATATAAATTATCTGCTAATACTCATCGCCGATTTCAAAGCTTCAATATAGGTGATTATGTTATGGCTCGCATTCGTCTAGAACGTTACCCTAAACATGCTTTTAAAAAGTCACATGCTCGAGCTTCGGGACCTTTTCGCATAATAAAGAAATTAGGACCTAATGCTTATCTTTTAGAATTACCTTCTGATATGGCCATAAGTCCAGTTTTTAATGTGGAGGATCTTATGCCTTACCGGGGAACTTTTGAGCCTCCCCATTTGCTTTCTGATGATTCTGCAGGTACTCAGCCTTCACAGGTGCTAATTCCATCATTGCCTGTTATCTTACCATCAGTTAACGAAATTGAGACCATTATGGATGATCAGATGGTCTTTACCTCTGAGGGGCCCCTTCGTCGTTATTTGGTTCGTTGGAGAGGTTGATCTGATGAAGATGCCACCTGAATTTTAGAAGATGAATTCCAACAACTTAATCCTGCCTTGCTAGAAGCCTATCAACACTCTACCTCTCTGGAGGAGAGTTCTTTGTAGCAGGGGGAATTGATAGAAAATATGGCAAATATTACTTTAGGAGAAAATAATTTATTAGTTCTTTATTGTTTTTCATTAGTTTATTAGTTTTTGTTGCTTTTCACTTAACTTTTGTAAGTTTCCTTCTTGTGAAGGAAACCAGGCAGCAGGTGGACATTTCCTTGTTAGGAAGGAAACCTCATATTTATAAATAGCATGACTTGTGTATTCAGGAGAAATGAAAAATGAAGTTATTTGATATATTCTGAAAACTCTCTCCCTCCAATCTGCGTCCTACCCCTCTCAATTCTTCCTCCCTCTTTGTTCTGTCCTTCCTCGTCTCTTCCCCCACTACCCTGTCCTCGTCCCTCTCCCTACCACTCTCTGTTTTTGTTTCATCTCACTTTTCCTTTTCTATTTAAATCAGTGTGAGCGTGAGTGTTTGTGTTTTACATTAATTGGTAGCTTAATTAATCATCATCTTTGTTATGTATTTGGGATGAGAATAAAAAAAGAAGGGTCTTGCAAAAATTTATGAGATTTTTTTTTACTATTATGCATTGTTGATTTATCTAAAATTGGTATTTTTATTACTAAAAAGCCCTTGTTGTTTTTGTTGATGGGTTACTTAAAAATTCCCTTTTATTGCTAAATTATGTACAGGAAAAATGTGTTTAAGACAGCCCTGCTTCTTCTCCATTGTCATTCAAAGATGAACAAAAAATAGAGGTGCATGCTTTAATTGTTTGCTTCAATTTTATATGTTCCATGATTTTCGAGCTGCATGTTTTTAGTTGTTATGGATGAATGATGAGAAAGAGGAACAACTTGTGTCATCAAACTAATGCATTGGTATTTTTGGGAAATATTATTATTTCTCATCATGTTCTTTATCAGGGATTTATGGAAGAAGAAAGAATTATGTCAAATTAAAGCATGTTGAGAAATATTAAGACTATATAAGTAATCTTATGAGGATAAAATTTTATTATTTATATTTTGATGTTTATTCCCATATATGTGCCATAACATTAGGGGCATTAAATCTTTGGCTTTTCAGTATTGAATTCAATTCAATATTGACTATGGAGAAACAAGTCTAGCATTACAAAATCTTAATTATCATACGTAATTATATGAAACCATTGCAAGTTGATTATAACCAATGTTAAAATCCTCCTTTCATAGAACTTTTGTGCAAAACATTCTACAATAATTCTAATTTTCATTTTATATAATTTTGAAGTAGAATTAATTTATACATAATTCAATTAGACATTACTGATAATTTCTTGGGGCAGATAGTAAAAGCTAGCCACATTCAAAATAAAAATAGTTGTTTGTTAAAAAAAAATAGTTGTTTTAGTACAATAAGGATGTGAAGTTCATAAAATTGTATAATGGAGGCATTATATATAAATTTAAAACTTAAAATATGTGCATAAGATAGATAAAGACATTATATTTAAAATGAAAAATTGTAGGATATAATATCATAAATAGGTAGTTAACAATTTCAATTTCCTTGCATGAAAGGTACCCAAACAAACAAATCTTGCAATTAATATATTATCTATGAGTTAATCATTATATTTGATCAATATTTATATATAATCTTCTATTGTATTACATGGGGAAGTAAAAGCACGATCTGTGACCTTGTCAAGGTAAGAAACATGGATGGGCTATAGATTTTGATGCATGATCATGAAAATATTAGTAAAAGAACAACTACAAATGTTATTTATTGAGTTTTTTAGAAACTTGGGCTCATAAAATATTGTATATGCATTCTAATTGTCATCTCTTTTATGCTTGATTTCATTAAGTTATAGTAATGGATTAATATTTCTTTATTATTAATGGAGGTTGTGAATAGATGAGATTTTTTTTGGTTTGGATTAGGAATGCTTTTTATTATGTAATGAAGTAATAATATTACAATTAATATAGTATTAATACAAAAATTATAAAATATGATATTTAATTTGATATAGTTTTTGCTCCTCGTGCATGGGGTAGCAAAATTTAATTTTTTTAAAATAAGGTTTGTGAGCTTAATTTTAAATCTTTTAAATTAAATTTAAATTTTTTTTTAAAAAAAATTAGAAATCAAGTTTAAGGGTTTTAAATTCATAAGGGCCAGGCCCCGAACGGTCAACCACCTCTTTCCCAACTCTACCCATAAACCCTACTTGTTCTCTGTATTGGCTTCCTCCAGTTCGCCAGTACGTCTGGTGTGCGCGCGGCTCTCACGTTCGTCGTTTTTTCTCCTCTTGGTCGCTCCCGCCGCCGTCTAGTGCGCCTCCAGTCACCGCCGATGGCTCCCCCGTCTTCATCCCAGGTACATATATTTTTCAAATTTTCGAAATCTGTTTTTCATTCACAGCTGAGTTTGGATCAAATATTTGGAGAGCAAGCGAAATGATGGCCTGAGTTGTTCCGTTGTCGTGCCTTTCTTTCGTTTCCATCGCTGTAGAGTTGAATCCATTTGCAAAAAAGCATACAGAGCCGGGGATTGAAGCACGGCATGAGGTATGTTCATTCTCTTTTTAGGATTTGCAGAAAACATATATCTGTCCAGATTTTAAATGTTACTAAGTTAAAGTTTCCTTTCCAACGATAAAAATATTCAATTTCTTCAGTACAATCCAGTATATCAACACAGTTGAGTTGTTAAACAATATGAGATTTAAGAGTGGAAGGAAAAGGCGATGAGGTTAGAGTCGATTATATATATCATTGTTCAGATATAGATAGAATTTTTTTTATGCTCAAGTAAATATTTGTTTCTCTCCATACTGTTTTGTTTAGGGGGATGATAGCTAGGTCCAAGAATTTTTTTTTTTTTTTAAATAAGTGGTAGATGTCATTTCAAGCAATTGCAAATTCAGCAGTATAGGTTGCAAATGAAATCATTGAAATTTTAAATGTAACTTTTGATTTCCATTGTTATGGAATTTAGATTGGAAAGAGAGAGAGAAAGAGAGGGGAAAAGAGAGAGAGAGGAAATGGAGAGATCTAAATATGCAATTCTCCAATTCTCATTGATATTGGAAGGCTGATGAAGCAGTTAATGAGGAGGGGGAATGGAAGTGGGAGATTCTGGAGAATGTATTACCTGTGAATGTTAAAAGGGGCCCCATGCGCTGCTACCTCCTGATGAGGAGAATGCTGATAAGCCCTACTGGGTAGGGGTGACAAGGGGGAGTATACAGTAAAAAGTTGATGTAATTTGTTAAGAGTTAAAGTGGGCCAAGCTAGTGAGGCATGGAATTTGACTTGGAAATGGCCCAGAATTGAGAGAATCAAGTTCTTCTTGTGGCTTGCTATTCATAATAGATTGCATACAAGTGAACTCAGCTTGCAGGTTGGGTGTGGCTCAGGGCCACAAGCCAGAATCTGTGATGCACGTGTTGAGGAATTGCAGGAAGGCCTCTGTCATTTGGAGTTTCCTATTTCCTCCAGAATCTCTGGGTAATTTCTTTTGGTGAGGATGCGAAGAGCTGGGCTAGATCTAACCTGAAGCTTAGTAGAGTGAAGGTTGAAGGGATTGAATGGAGAGTCATCTTTGGTGTGGCTTGCTGGATTATTTGGAATGAAAGGAATAGGAGGATCTTTAGAAAGGAGGAAAGGTAGAGAAGGGTAGAGGAAGTTTGTTGGTTGATCCTCAGTTTTAGTCATAATATGTGTAGGGTCGGATTTGAAGCCAACTCCATGCAGCAGACAAGAATCGTTGGGCTGGTTTGCTGGTCTCCCCTGAGAAGGAATGGGTGAAGGTCAACACAGATGGAGCTTGTAGGGGCCTTGAGTCCTTGGCAGGAGATGTGGTATTATATGAGACTAGAAGGGTATGTGGCTACTGGGTTTTTTGAAGAATTTGGGTAGCTACTGTGCTGCTCAAGCCGAACTTTGGGGCGTGTTGGAAGGACTGAAGCTTTGTTGGGAAGCTGAATTCAGAAGGGTGGTGGTAGAAGTTGATTCTCTAGGTGTGTTGAGACAAATTGAAGGCTTGGAGGAGAGCAATGAGAGTAGAGTCAGACTGCTGGGGAAGGTTAAGGAGTAGAGGGGAGAGGATTGGAATAAAAAGATTACCTATGTGCCTCGTGAAGTTAATCAGTGTGCAGACACTTTGGTTGGGTTATAGCTTGGATCTGAGTATGGGTTTACATCTGTGGCATGGAATGTTGGAGAAGGTCAGACTGATTTGTCTATGGACAGCTTTTGATTCCCTTTTGAAAGGGACTGAGGGTTGGTTCAAGTCTCTGTACTGTTTTTTTCCAGTTTCTGTCTTTTTGTTTGTTGTTTTTTGGGCTTTAAGCCTCTTTACTGCTGTTTTGTTTAGGGGAAGGACAGTCAGATCCCAAGAAAACTTTTTGAATTTCAAATTCAGTTGTACAGGTTACAAATCAATCATTTAAATTTCTAATGTAACTTTCAATTTCCAACTAAAATTTTCATTTGCAACCATCGTTTAGCAAATTTTTCCAAGGACCTAACATTCATTAAATTGTGCTTTGGGACTCAACTGTTATTCCCCCTCTTCTTTATCTTCTGAGTCTGCTCTAGCACTATTTGAATGCTGAGTTGATGTGTTAACTCAGTCAAGGTCCCACTAAATAAAGAGTAACTACATTCACATCTCTGCAAGTTTGGTGTGAGTAGATCTGATAATTAGTTTGAAAATTTCATTTGAACTTATGATCATTTTATATATGTTGCAAACCTTTCCGATTAGATCATGTGTGTGTATTGGTATGACTAGATTATGCATCAAAGTACATTTTATGCAAACACTGTTTATGATGAAATAATTATTATCTTTATTCATCTATGCATAAGTCGTTTTCTCTTCGGGTACAATTTTCTATTGGGAATAAAACTTTCATTGTCGTTTGTATAGGCCAAACAGGTATCTGGCATCATTTGATGAAGGACGTACTCAAGGAGGTATTTATTCCATTTCTCCTCAATTTAGTAATTTGTGATTAATAATTATTACTGTTTTAGGCTTTCTTTTGTTTGGTATTACAACTTTGATATATAATTTTTTGGATCTTAAGATATTGGTTTGTCCTTTTTGCCATGGCCATTTAAGCCATTTTATTGTTTTATGCCCGCCAAAATGGTTGTACATTCCCTTAGGCCTTAGGAAATGAATAATTTAAACTCTGATGAGATTTGTTCCTGGACTTCCATTTATTTTGGAGGTCGAACTGTATACCAAATGGTGAGTTTTAACTGTTAAATGAAACTAAAAGTATATTCATATTGGTAATTATGGGAATGGTAAAGACATAACTTGTGATTTATTCTTGGTTAACTTATATATGCAGACCCCTATGATAGGATAAACGGCCTAGGTAATCGAGTGGCCAGAATAGGCGATAAGGTAATATTCATTTTTTTCCCCTTTCTTGGTTGCTATATATTGTCATCCATCAATTTTTTTTTAACTCTCTCCATGGATATAAGTTAATATGAATTTCTGATGATATGGTTTTTTTTTCTTCCAATTTTTAATTGAATAATAATCTATATATTCAATTATAGGTAAGAATCAAGTATATACATCTGGGTGAGAAAGGTGAGCCTGGAAGTGGGGGCACTTTGGAACTGATTTTGGGTCAAGGAAAAAATGGTAAAAATATGAATTTGATTGCTGCTGTTTATGTTGCAGCCCCAACTTAATATAACTAAGTTTCTTTGAATTTTGGTTAAATTATTTATGTTGTGTTTTGTTAAACAACTATTAATGATTTCTTTGACATTAATTGACATACTCCTTTTCCATTTAATTAATATATAAAATTAACTTCTCCATAACATAAGACTATTGATTTAACCTGATCAGTCTAACAATAAAAATAAAAATTTATGTTTAAGAAAAAAAAGCTTATTATGTGAAAGAATTAGGTTCATTGATTGTGTATTATTCTCATTATCTCAAGTAGGATTTGATGAAGCGATATGTGGAATGAAACTTGAGGGAGTGAGAGATGTTACCATTCCAGCACATCTTTGCCCAAGGCCCGATGGGGTAATAATTCTTCAATTTCTGCACGTGATTTTTCTTCTTCCTTTTTACTATAGAAGTAATTATTTTTATTCTGTGAAAGAGAAAATTATACATGTTTATAATAAAAGCCCCTTGACCTAAAATTGCTTTCTTTTTGGACCATGATGTGCATCAGAAATTGAGCCAATCACTATGTCTCAACTAAAATCTTAGCAGAATTGCAATATTTTTCATCATCTTATTGTGTTACATAACTTAAGGTAGAATAAAATAAAATGGTTACATGAAAATGTTTACTGATATCTGCAGAATATTTACATGCATTCACCTAGCTAGTCTCTTGTCCATGTGTTTATGATTTCTCCTTAATATTTCCTTTCTCTTACATAATAACAATCCATCTCAACATGCTTTGTCCATTAATTCATGATTTCTCCTGATGCACAACCCAATATCTGGTGCCAAATTTTTGGGTTGTTTGTCTTGCTGACTACCATAACCATCCTCCATCTTGTACTGGCTCTAGCATGTAGGAACTAGAAACTGTCACCTTGCCTACTCTAACCATTTCCTTGTAGTTAAGTCCTGGACAACACAAAATCAGCAACAAATGTCAGTAAAGTTACTCTCGTCAGCTTTGAATGTAAATTTCATTGGAATATTCAAAACAGCATTGATTCCTTCGGTTGGGTGCCTTGGTTCTTCCAACACCCTCAGCTAGTATACACTGTCTATTTGAAATTTGGATTGGTCTTTGGTTGGTGGTCTTTCTTGATTCTTTTTGAGGTCACAGTCACAGGTAATGTGCTTGGTTGCCCCAGAATTGATAACTCATAGGCCTATGCTGGAATTTTACTAGCCTTATTTGCTTTGGGTTGGGCACATTGGCTTTGGGAGCCAGCATTCTTAGTAGTGTATAGTTCATAGCAACCTCTATTAATCCTACAATTGGGCTCTCACATGAATTAACTTACACTACTTTTGGCCCAGTTTTAACAGTTGCCTTCACTTTTCTATCCTGATTTCCCTTTCTCAAATCCGATGAATGCCCAATTATTTCTAAACAGTGATCCTCAGTGTGTCCCAACGTTTGACAATGACTACACTGTGGCTTATCTTTCTTTTACTCTTTTCAGTCAATCATATCTTTCTCATAGTGAGTGCCAAGCTTGAAAGGCTAAGGCTTTTGGTATATTGATTTGTTCATGGCTGAAATTTTCCACTGCTGCAATTGCAAGGCTGGGCAATGATTTCATCGCAGGAATTGAGCTTTTGATGGTTCCAAATGCTTCATTGAGCCCTGTTAAGAAATCAAGTGATCCCTTTCCTTCACTACGGTCACCTGCATTTGCGTGTCACAAATGCACCCACTGCATATGCATCTCAGTCATGGTGCCAGTGATCACATGTCATCCCACAGTCCTTTAAGCTTCGTGTAGTCTGATAGAAGATATTGTTTTTCTTGGTCGAGGAGGGTTATGGCTCGTTATGATTCATATGCTCGAGGCACTTCCTTTCCCAACCTTTCTTCTGGATCTACCCATATATCTTTCTGATGGTTGTTTCCCATTTCCTTTTCCATTCTACCCTTCAACAACCTTTAATCTTGGCATTGCATTGCATCCAATGGCTCAAGTTGGGCGAGTTAGTTGTTGTCATAGGGTATGGAACCATCTAAAAGCCTATCTTGTTCTTTGAAAATAGTGCATTGCTCATATCAGTTACCTACTCTACATAATTGTTGTCATGGTGTGGTTCACTCGAATAAATTCATCAGATAATTGTTTGGTGAATGGATATAGTATCTGGACATCAAATCTATACCATCTCCTTGCCTGTCAATTTTTGTGCATTCTGTCGTCTTGTTCTTCTCAGTTCTCATTGCTTGTGTTTAACATCGTAGATTCGTATATGTCTTTTTTTTGCGGCAACCATCAAGATTTTGATGATGTGTTAATGTCATACATATACATTGCATGTTGTGCACGATTTCATTATCATATTGTGAGGCTTATTTGGACATTAAATGAAATGAAATGAAATTTATGCTAGAAAATCTATATTGATTGATATCCATAAAATATTTATATATATTTAAACTAACTAAATATAGCAAATCTATCAGTTTCTTACGACAACTCATAATTTTGTCGTTGATGTGAATTTTTAGGTTTTGAAGAAAATTCTAACCCTCTGGAGCTCGAAGGGTGAAAAGAAATTTCGTGTGGCGCTTTTGACTATTTCGCCACCTTAGGGGAAGAAGTGAAGTAGATAGGTTATTCTGGTAGACAGGCATGATTACTTCTTCCCAGAGCATATAGGACATTTTTGCATCGCATTCTTATAGTAATTGTGAAGCTAATTGTTTGTTGCATATAGGTTGTTTTGCATATAGTTTGTTCCTTTTTAATTAAGTTTCATTATCATCATAATACTGTCATGGTTATTTTATAATAAGGATCTATGAAAAATTTTAGAATTATTGTTTATGTCTCGTGGCAATCATTATTGTATTAATGTGAGAACAATAATGAATAAAAGATTCATATTATATAAGGAAATGCAAATCAAAATCATAGACACGAGTGTTGGAGACTAAGGCACATAATAGATCTATCATGGGATAGGCTCCATGAATTAGGTGATAAGTCTAGCCTTTATAGTTGTGTTACTAGATATGCCCTCAGAATTGATATCATAGATTCTTCCATGATTAATGTATAATATGACAAGACCAAAAATCACTTCTAACTAGGTGATCACAAAGGTTTTGATTGAGTACAGTAGGATCAATGTAGAGGAAGATAAGTGATTGAAGATAGAATTTGACAGGCACACAGTCTTCACTTGGAACTTGTGGCTAACTGAATGGGAGAAAGTCTTTTCTGCCCCTTATCATTAACGGGAAATGAAAGTAAATCAAGTGGTCAATGCAAATGAATATTCAAGGTAAACGGAGTGGGATTTGGATTCAATAGCTGAATTCAATGAAAGATAGTTGAAGCCCATCTTAACTTTCATATTTGTATTTCATCGTTTCATATAAAATCTTATCTGTTCCTATTACATATTTCATGTCCAGAAGCATCTTTAAACTTTTATAACACTTTTACAAAATCAGTGGTTTGAGACGAGACTAATTTTTTCTCTTATGTTTGATATCTTACCTCTATTTCATATTAGAAGACATTTTTTCCTTGAAAGTCCTACCATTTCATATGTATAAAAGGTGATTTATAGATTTTTACGGGCAATTAATGTCTTTTTATCCAAAATGTGCTAGGAGTATGTCAAAATCACAATGAAAAGAAAAACAATAATCCTTAGAATTTTAAAAGAAATAACTAATGATTGGTATTATTTACCAAAAAAAATTATTGCTATTAAAGAATGACAATTATAAAAAATGAGTATTCTCTTTGATCTTTTGTACAAGTGACCTTCTATGAGAAATTATTTGTCTTTTTTATTAAGTATTTTTTGCATAAAAGGATATATTATTACTTTCTTCTAATTTTACCATTTCCCTATTTTCATTATCTAAATATTTCTTTTCAGAATCACACACACGCACACAAAATATAAGGCTAGCTATTGAATACTTAATATCTTAAAAGAGATATATATATATATATATATATTGATTCCGTTGCTTAGTTTCTGGAAAATGTGGGAGAATAAGTTGATTTAACCCCCTTAATACCAAACATCCCTTGGTAAAAATATTTTTTCTTTCACTTCTAACTTGTGCAAATTTAAATGAAAATAAATCACGTTATATCAAAAATCTCTTTCCCTTTTTACACTCATGCCTATGAAAGATTATACAAGGAGTTTTAATCTAGACCTCTGCTAGCGATAAAAGTAAGTCAGGTAATTTGAGTTTGACGTAAATAGGCCAAACTAGTCTCAGGCATATGGTCACACCTATATATGCATTATGTGTATGTGTGCATAATTATATAATTATTATTATCATTTAAGTAGTTAAAATTAATATTTAATACAAGTCTATTAGGCAATATCTTATTTGATTTGACTTTTTTTCATCGCTAATATAATATCTATTTATACTCTACTTTATCTTAACAATTGCTGCTACTTTGTAGTAAAGTCATTTAACTATTTCACTAAAACAAGAAAGAGATAATTTAGTCAATAATTGTATCTCTAATTGAAATATTTTTTTTTAAATTTTATTTTATACTGGAAACCCTCTAATCTTTTGTACAAATGACCTGTAACCTCTATTGAAACTAAAATGAGCTAGTTAAGTTATTAACATTATCTGTAAATGAAATATTTTTCCAATATTGCCATCATGAATTGATAAAAAAAAAAAATCTCTCTCAATTAAATGTAGTCGTAAATAATTGGAAGAGAGGCAACTATGAAGAAATTTAATTAATATTCCACTCTGACTAATATATTGGACCATCCATTTCTTCTAGGTGACCAACATAAAAAACGAGAGGAAGTATACTACTTGACATCCATATCAATGTATTATAAATTAATAATTATTAATAATAACCTGCATATCAAAGAAAAAATAAGTAACCTAAGAATGTTAATATTTATATTGCCATTAACGGCTTATAGGCCTAGGATTCTATAACAATATGTCAGCCCGTTCATGGTATAACAAAATTATTGAATAAAATCTGAATCAATTCAAAATTATATAAAACATTACTCTATCTATCCCAAATTATAAAACACTTTTAAACAAAATTTTATATATTAATAAAGCTCATTAAATACACTTTACAATCTTACTTTTTCAAGACAAGCATATAAACTTTGAAAGGTATCATTTATTTAATACTCTATTGATGAGATAATATTGAAGAGAGGAAATATATGAAAAGGGTAGTATTAAAAATGTATCATTAATAAAACTTTATTTTTATCAAAGTGTCTTATATTTTGAGACGTTAAATTTTTTCTAAAAATGTTTTATAATTTAAGATGGAAGAAGTACATGAATATTATCTTGCAATATCTCAAATCTAGAGTGTCACAATGTAACAACCCAATAACATATTGTTTTTTTTTTTGGTATCCACAGCTATCTTTTTATTGGAGATTATTATATTCGGGAAACTATTGAGTATTAAATATGTGAACACCTCTCCAAATAAAAACTTAAATATTAATTTGTCATGAGTGACTATTGCAGCTGCTCCTACTAGCTACTAGGTCAAGTTTCTTTGTTATGCATTTTTTTTTCCTTGCAATTTGTTATAACTGATCTTATTCTTTCTCTTTAACTTTATAAACGGAATGGCTCAACTCCTGCAAACTAAAATCAAGATCCAATATCACTTGTTGGGATTAGGAAGAATGTCGAACATCAAGCCTAGGGAAGATAGTTTAGATATTTTATAAATAAATTATTTGATAAAGATTATAAAAAACATATATTATTTTATATTTATGGTTACAATAATAAAAATTTATTATTATTATTATTATTATTATTATTATTATTATTAAATTATTTTAGATTTTATATATGTTATTTTAAAATTTATTACTTATTGTTATTTTAAATTTTTGGTTAAAGAATGCATTTGATACTTTAAATTTTGATTTGATCCATTACTTTTATAAAATATCTTTTTAATCCTTTAACCCTACTATTGTTAGTTTTAACGGATTATTTTTTGTGCTAATTATTATTATTATTTTAAAAAATAAATTTAATATATTAACATTTGAAAATGTTTTATTAATATTTCCTTCACTGGCCCTGCATAGAGTCCGCACAACACCATTTCCTTGCTCCCTCTAAAGACTCAGCATATGGTTCTGGACTTGAATCCCAGCTCATCTTGGATGGGTATTTGGTAGGAGCTTGAAACCATGTGTATTGAGGATAAGCAAACAATTATGCAAAAGGAGGACTCGCGAGTTTGAAAATGGAAGAGGAAGAGGAAGAGGAAGACGAAGACGAAGAAGAAGAAGACGAAGAAGAGGAAGAGGAAGAGGAAGACGAAGACGAAGAAGAAGAAGACGAAGAAGATAAGGAAGAGGAAGAGGAAGAGGAAGAGGAAGAGGAAGAAGAAGAAGAGGAAGAGGAAGAGGAAGAGGAAGAGGAAGAGGAAGAAGAAGTCTCTTCATTCGTTTGTGCTGCTTCTTGTTCTCCTACTGCATCAGAATCTAGAGCACGCTTGCATGCATGTGGGTTCTTGAGTTCGTGCGCAGAAGGACGTCAGAGCAATCCCCGGATTTTGTTGATGGTGGGAAGTACCATCTCTGTTTCTAACATGAAAAATAGGGGAGAGTAGGACCCAAGTCAAGCGTTGTCATTTCAGTTTGAAGCTACTTCAATCTTGGCGATCACTTTCCTCATGGTGGAGCCGTTGAGTGACGGATGCAGGACTCTGAGCCAGCAGGGGCGTATTTTTTTTTTTTATAAAAATGATAAAAAGCATTTCATATATTTATAAGATTATTTGCCAAAAAAATTATATAAAATTTAATAATTAGGGTGGATACAAAATACTTTTATTAAATTTATCCTAATTTATTATTTAAAAAATTTTATTTGTGAGGAAAAGATTTGTTATTCCTTATTTATAATTTTCGCTAAAAATAATTTCATAATCCTGTTCAAAATTCATAAAATTTGCAATCTCCTAATTCAAAATCATGCTTTAAACTGAAAAATAATATTATGAATGTATAAAAATAATAAAGAGGATCCCAAATTTTAAAATATACTTTAAACATGTGCATAAAAAAATTAATTTTTTTTTATGAAACAAATCTCGAAAACTACTCAATATTGCACGTTGTATGACAGTCTTGGGCAATCACATGCAAAAGCCAGTCAGGTGTACCAAATAAGGCAGAAACCAACGAAATCCCTCCCCTGTTCAACGCTTCTTCCGTCACAGCATCCGCTACTTCAGTTCGATCTCTACTACACCTCACAATATGAGCATCCCATTTGCAATCCGGCATCTACTAAAAAAATATAAAAATCTTTTTATTTTGTTATAATATTTTTTCACTAGTTTTTAATTTTTCTTTTCTGATTCCCACTTAGTTTTGAGCACCATTGTCGCCATCCTCCAAATTACATCTCTCTACCATAACGAAGAAAATGGATCTTCGTCAACCATGAATCTCTTTATTTCTACGACACTTCCAAGATTTCTTGGTAACATTCTCTTTGTTTCTATGGCAATAAAAGGTATTTTCTTTTAAAATGTTCACCTCTGTTTGCTGTCTCGAAAACAGAGCTAAATAGGGTATAGAGTCTTTTAATTTAAAAAATATGCTTATCTCTCTCCCCAGTTAGACCAATCATACTAAACTAGTATAAAAATAGTATTGAAATGATGTATATGAACTAAAGATTGTCACTAAACAGCAACGTTTTACTATTCCACCAACTGATCAAATCAATAAGCATGGTTTATGTTTCTTCAAATACCATCTCCATTTCACGTTCTTCAAACACCATTGTCA